GAAGACTTGGAGCCTATGTTTAAGCTTCAGAGTTGCTGAGCTCGGACCAGCAACGTGGCTGGCAGGGACCGCCGGCCCAAGCGCAGGGTTAATTACAGGGGCATCGCAAGGGAGTGGGTCAAACATTCAAGCCTTCTACTTAAAGGGCAATATACTACGCGTACGTTATTTGCATCAATGTGATGAATTGAATCTACTTACATTAGGTGCAAGTAGGTACATAATATTGGCTACTCCTGGTCTACTGCTATTACTTGAAATACATTACTCAACCAGCATTATTATCTCAAGTGGTGTTCAGATAAATGCCTAATGATCACGTGCTCGTCATGTAGGTACTTTCCTGTCATGCACTCACGACAAGGTTTCTTCTGCATGGATCCTATAATAAGGTTCAAGCCTACAGGTTATGGTTTCATTCTGCATACTCGATTCCCGCGATCGCGCACAAAGGAAGTCCCATTACTTCTGCCGAGTTGACCGTTCCGACCTACTCAGCTAGTCCCGAGGCAGACCATGAAAAAGAGGGTCGCGGGGAAGAAAACGTGGGGTTGATCGGACTTTGGCGGCCAACTCTCCGAGCTAAGCATCTTCGCTGTGGAGTGTAAGGAATGAGCCTCGGCTTGGTTACTGTAACTGGCATTTCTGCGGGCCGCTTACTTGACCTCTACTTAATTGATGTAGATAGCTCGACCTCTCGAGTATACAACAAAGGAAATTTCGTCCATTCATGAAACAATAGCAAGATATATTGACTTACCTTAATACGTTGACGAGAAACAGAGACGGTTGCGCATATACATAATCTATACAGAATGGCGGACGTAGTCAAGGTCTCGTACTCGGGGCGTATCGCCACCATCACCATCGACAATGACAAGAAGCTCAACGCCTTGAATATGGACGGGTACTACGCCATTGCCAAGGCCCTCCGAGACATTGCGGCGCGCGATGATATCTACATCACTATCCTCACCGGAAAGGGCCGGTATTTCTCTGCGTAAGTCTAAAATATGCATGCATACCCACATACATATCGGACTCAAGTGATAAGACCACATGAGAGTCTGAGACGTTTGTTCGTCCCTACACAGCAACAACAAAAAGGAAGAAGAAGAAAAACCAAGACGCACCAGTCTAAACAAGAAACCACCGAACCATCTAATAAGAGAACCAAGCTAACCAGCCCACAGCGGCGCCGACGTCTCAGTAGGCCGGGACCTCCCACCCGACGCAGACCCCTACAGAGAATGGCTGCGCACCTTCGTAGCCAACAACCTAAACATAACGCGCGCCTTCTACAGCCACCCAAAGATCCTAATCGCAGCGCTCAACGGGCCCGCAGTCGGGCTCTCAGCAGCACTAACAGGGTTCGCGGATTTCGTCTACGCGGCGCCGCACACCTTTCTTCTCACACCGTTCTCATCGCTCGGACTCGTAGCAGAGGGCGGGGCCAGCCACGCCTTCGTGCAGCGGCTCGGCATTTCCAAAGCCAACGAGGCGCTGATCATGAGCAGGCGGATACCCGCCGACGAGCTCGTCGCGACGGGGTACGTGAACAAGGTGTTCGAGTGCGCCAAGGGAGACTCCGAGGCGTTCATGACGCAGGTGCTGCGCGAGGTCGAGGAGAGGCTTGGCGAGCACCTTGTTGCTGACTCGTTGACGGGCATCAAGGCGCTTATCAGGAGGCCGGAGCGCGAGATCCTTGATCGGCAGACTGTGGCCGAGGTCTTTGCTGGGCTGGATCGGTTCGTCAGTGGGGTTCCGCAGAAGGAGTTTCAGAAGATTGCCTCGGGACAGAAGAGGCATAAGCTCTGAATGCAATCAGGTAGAGAACACGATTGTAGTGGGTGGGAGCGCGTCATATAACAGAGCGAGCAGCGAGCGGGTATTTTGCTATATTGCGAAGGGGATTTTCGTCCTTGCTGGATTTCTATAGAGCTGCTTGAATTTGTCTAGCCTAGTCATTTTGCTAGAAAATATGTAAATGCCATACCACGCTTGTATATTTATTTGTCTACATGGGTATCATCACGCGAGCAGACCAAATAGCAGGCTCGTCCTCTTCCAGTACTCCTGAGACGCTTTTGCAAGACGCCGCTCCGCTTCATTATCCAGGCCCGTCTTCTCCAAAACCTCAGAAGCAAGGTCTTTAATCACCTTATCAGACTCACTGCTCCCGGTATTGAGGAAGTGTTGTAGTAAACTAACGTCGAACAGCCACTGGACGAAGACGTCTTTGTTGCGCTCAGATGTTGGCTCGTTGGTTTCCTTTGCCTTGGCGTCGTCATTGTCATCTTCTTGGGACGTCTCGCCCTTCTCATCTCTATCGTCCACATTGGATGTAGACTCTTTTTCAGCTAGATCTGGCACCGGTGATATGAGTTCCTTATGCCAAACATCTGCGAGCTGTTGGCTGAAGACGCGCTTTAAAGTCTTAACAGCAGCTGGGGTCCAGAGATCAACCCCGGCATCGCTCATTGAAACGGTGACATTCCTCAGGAGTTTGAAAGTGCTGGGGGAAGGCTGGGTAGGCAAGGCTGGTTCTCCCTCCCACAACGCTCGGCCAACCACCCGTTTCTGAGTTAACGTTGTAGCCGCAAATTCCTCGACCGGTGCTACAGACACATGGGTTGCAAGCTTTTCATGCAACGAAGGGACGTTTTCCAAACCGAAAGACTGCACAGCCTCAAGCTTCGGTAGACGGCTCCGAATATCCCTCAGAATCCGGAGAATATATGCGGCAACCGGACCGTTATCCAAACCTTCCTTTCGGGCTTGCCATATCGTAGTGATCTGCTCATCCAAGTCTTCGAACGCTTTTATCAGTGTCCTTTCTAGACGCGCATGTAGCAATTGTGGGTCGTCTTTGCTTAGAAGATCCTGCCTCGTCTCAATGACCTCCTCATCCTCAATTTCATCGACATCGTTATCCCATCTCTGTCGTTTTAGCTGCTCTACCAGCTCACCAACGTTGTCAACTATGTGGTGCCATGATTCAAACCCGGTAACGGCACGTGCAACAGCATCATTCCTTCCGTAGACGCGAGACACGACCTCATGTGTGATCTGAGCTGCACCGATAGAAAAGTCCAACCCAAGCATTTCGTCATCCCAGAGGCCGTGTTGGCGATCGGTGACTCCCGATTGCCAGGCTTCTAAAGTGGAAGCGACTTCGGAACCGACGAGCTTGAGCTTGGCAACTTTCGTTTCTATGAGTTGCAAGAGGTGATTGTTGACAGCTTTTCGCAAGCCATCGAGCATTATAGATGGATCAAACCCTCTAGCTTTTCCCCCATCCCTTATCCACTGCTGTAGTGTGCTCGTCCGCAGCTCTATGATGGCCTTGAATTCCGAGATGTGCTCGAGCGTCTTGCTCAGTCCGCTAAGAACAGTTTCTCCACCCTTCTTTGCCCATCCCGTAAGCATTTCCTTAGCCTGCTTCCCGTCTAGGTCGTCGTGTCGTATGAAAGGCGTGAAGTACCGGATGTCGTCACCACACCATGTGTCGAAGATATCCAGCCTGAGACCTTCCAGAGATCGTAGTGCTTCATCGGCGAGGAGAGGTTTCTTCTTGAGCTCCAGCAATGCCTCAGGCAGCTTGTTTGGCACCAGTGCTTGCACATCCACCAATGTCTTGGTGTATAGCTCAAGACCTTTGAGGACATTATCTGTGCCCCTGTCCTTCTCGTGTTCCTCATAATCGAATTCGTACGTAATCGCCTCGGCCCTGATACTCAAGAATCGGCGCAGAACGTCCCTTGTGCCCGAACTCGATGACAGACTATACGCGGACAAGGCCTTGAGTATTTCAGTTATGTCTGCCCCCTCTCCGACCCTTTGTAGCACCTTCTCAATAACGCGCACAAGCTTTCTCCTCAGTCCATCCAAGCTCTTCTTAGCAGCTTCCACCGCGCTCCTTACTTCCTCGTCGGTCTCCTTCAGGTTGCCGAAGCTGGACACGAGCAGCCGACTGAGGACGAAGACTTTCGCAGCCAGCAAGAGACGGTCTCCCCTGCGCCCCTCGGCATCTTTGCCGGTACCCGTCTTCAGCAGCCGGCTAACGGCAAGCCCACAGGCCCTGAGCAGCTTGACGCGCGCAGCTTGGCTCAATGCCGCCTGGGCATCCTCGTTGCCGCGAAACTGTCCCAGACCGGTGATTTTATTGTCCACGACGCTGCGACCGCACTGGCTGCCCATGTGATTCAACACCTCCTGGGCTGACAGCATGTCTTTGCGCATCTGGACGATGGTGTCGGCGGTGCCGAGGAGCTGGCGGTAGCTGTTGCCGACCTGGGTGCGGAGACGGGCGGATTTCTCGTCGATCTGGGTGTGCAGCGTCTTATGAACGGCTCGGATCTGCGGCAGCGTGTACGTCGTGAAGATTTGCGCCGAGCTCGTCAGCGTCGATGTGTCGGGTGTCGCCATTTTTGGCGTACGAAGGGCTCGGCGCGTCCCTGAAGGGGGTTGTGGTTTTGCTATCGTTGTCTAAACATTGATATGACGCTTTCCTTGGACTAGGAAAGTTGGTAGCTTTGTGGAATAGCTTCGCGGCAGGCGTGGCCAGGTCGCGAAAGAGTGACCAATTTGACAGTATTCCCAGCTGCTCCCAGCTGGCAGGAGACGGTATTATGAAGGGAAGGGAAGCTGTGAGCAACCGTAGAATCTATCTATATATTATTAAGTCACAACAACCAACAGCTCAACTAAATCCATTTAAAAGACACTGGGCATATTGGGTTTTACCTACCTTAATTAACTAACAAAATAAACTACAGTTGACGCAAGATAGTCAATATTTTTCTTTTGCGATAGCAGCTAAGTAAGAGCAGTCCTATTTCTACACTAATTTATTGCCAGCACAGGTATAGCGATTCGCCTGCTTTGAATTAACAAACTTGTTGTAAGTAATCTACAGTATGGATATCTTTATTGACCTAAGTAAGACAACAAAAAGAAGATTCAAAATTATGGTCACCACGATGATGAGCAAAATATAATGATGAGAGTGGGACTCGAACCCACGCGGATTGCTCCACTGCGAAATTTCTTCGTGACATCGAATCGACATCAGGTTCAAGGTTTACCTGAACGCAGCGCCATAACCACTCGGCCATCTCACCATGGAATGTCCATGTGATTATCATATTATATATATATCGACGCTGCTTGGGGTCCAGAAGGTGGCAAAGTAATGTCGATGCTAGCAAGAAGTCCCAATTGGAATGCATACAATGTCTGAAACCTCCTGGTCCAGAAACTACGATTAAGAATATGTGAATGTTGTTTTCGGCACATAGATTTTATGAGGTAAGTACATGAGAACGCAACTCATTTTGGCTGGGAATTTGTGGCGAGATCCTCGGGATTGCCACGGACGCGAAGCGCATTACCGTTAATCTCGACCGTGACCCTGCGATCACCAAAGTATAGACGATCACACTCTGTGCGCGCGATCCGGGAGTCAATACTGCTGCATAGAAGCTCTTCTACCTCGATGTTCTTCAAGGCAGCTAGTGTATAGAAAATATCTACTAAACCTACGATTCAAGATAGAATCGCCGTCCCTCTGTGTTCGTGTGGGAGCGATAAATACGTACCATCTGTGCTATATCTGTTCTAAGTAAATCCTTATACCTTTCGGAAAATAAAAAAAGGTTCTATCAACCAATTTAATTTACCGATCGTTAGGATTTCATACAATTGCATGGTAATGTTTCATAGGTGGGATGAACTGTGTAACAATAACTCACCTACCTGCATGTCTTGAGCTTCCTACAAATACTAGCACTGTCATGTCTTTTCGCTGCCTTTACATATACATTTCCCTCACATTTTCCACTCGACCGAAGCAATGCATCATGACGTCTCGTAAAATCCAAGCTCTTATTCAAGATCTGTGTTGCATACATACCTCGTGATGAGAGCCTCTTAGCAGGTGGAATCGGCACATCGTAAGCTCCGGACCACACCTCCAGTTCATCCCCCAGATTGACACGCAGATCATGAAGAAACTCCGATACAAAGCAGTACCGAGAGGATTTCATCGACAGAATCTGACACGCACACACCGGTTCACCATTATGAGAATGTTACTCCCTGGTGTGTTGATTGGCGATTTCCAGCAGGAATGATTCTCAACTACTGCAACTTGGTTCATGCTTTGTCCCAATCCGGCCACCTTGCTTGCGCACGGATGGGGTAGAACTACTTGTCTCTATCTACCCTCGCCCGCGTACATGCGACAGCCTAGACTATTCATCCGGCTCTTCTTGGAGTATGAGGTGTAGCTGGCCGGCTACACTTTGATTGATTCTGTCACCACGAGTGAGCTTGGGGACATCTGATTATCCAATTGAGTTACACTGACCCCAGACCTGTTTGGCCAAATGGGCAGTTTTTACCAAAGCAGAAACCAAGCTAGTACTCCAAGCATGAACTATGACCTGAGGTCACTGGCTTTCGGTCGTCTGATCTTCACTATTAGGCTTTTTGATCTTTTCATCCCATCATTAGGCCGTTCATCGGGTGCGTCCGTACCCCTAGCACGATCCGGATGGTGATGCTTTCAGGTTTGACCATCTGATGTCGAAGGCATAAGTTTTCCAAGAAGGACTACTGGGCTGGAATAGTATTCATCAACTCGTAAGTTAGGTACGACATAGAGACCTGTTGTCGACGTTCTCGACGCCAAAGAGCAGCTATCTTGCCACGATGCGTTGACCTGGGTCGTGCTTCAGCTACCTCAGAGACCACTATCCGTAATCTGCGCCATGTGGTTTGAATATTCGTTGATACATAGTAACGATTGACCGAATGACTTCAGTATCTCAGTGGACAGCCATCCAGTCAGCCTCCACATGGGAGTATTGATGATTATCATTCGAGTCCGGCCATGTGGCGATCCGATCCGATACATCTGACACACAAGGCTGATTTATCCGGTTGCCCATCTGATGCCGTTTGCAAAGCTCAACTAATCCCAACGCTAGGCGTAGATCATCTTCAAGCAGCCAGCAACCTGCATTGTCGCCTTCGGCTTCGGGATGCTATACTACTATATCTGAAGGCTTATCCCTCTCGTTATGAGTTTTAAGTGAGAATTACTTTGAATTCTTTTCGTCTCTCTTGTGTCTTCCGTCTGCGCCTTCAGTCGGTCACCGTAACACGCAGGCACGATATCTCGATATGTGCGCAGTAACGAGCAACAAGTATCTCATCATGGGAAACACCACGGTGGTGGCTATGCCATCTAGCGATCCATTCCGCTACAGCAGTACTCAACAGAACCTGGCAATAGCGATTGTCATAGCCATGGCGGCTTTTGCTTTCGTTGTATTGTGTGTTAGAGTAGTTGGAAGAGTAACGTCTCACCAGTTTGCGCTGGGTAAGCAACTCACTTACTATGTGTTTCAAATATGGTGCTAATGTGTAGAATAGATGACACATTGGTATGCATAGCCATGGTAAGCGGCCGCCAACTCGCGATTATTTGTGAATACAAGGAACTGACTGGGTGTGACTTATAGGTGTTATCAATACTGGAAACGGCAGCGAGTTATATGTGTTAGTTCTGGACGGTGCGATGATACAGCTCAGAAACGTATATGCTAACCGGTTCAAAGTTATCAAGACGAATTTCATAGGGATCAGATGGGAAGATATCCCGCCTCACGATCCTATACCAGGTCTGGTGTGGAATTATGCAATTGAAATCCTATACAATCCGATCTTGGCGCTGGTGAAGACATCGATACTCCTCTTCCTGCAGCGTCTATTTGGGCAGCGGCCTGGCGTGAGGCGCTTCATCCTGTGGCTGAACACTGCCAATATCGGAATGATGATTGGAGTCTTCTTTGCAACGGTGTTTCAATGCGTCCCCATCAATAAAACCTGGGAGACTTCTCTAAAGGGGACATGCATTGACAGGAGGATCTTATTCACAGTCTCAGCCTCATTCAATATCCTCACTGATATGCTCATGCTGGCACTTCCGTTGAGGATATTCATCAATTTGAAGATACCCAAGCGTACCAAGATCGCTCTCATGTTTGTTTTCTTGCTGGGATTCCTGTGAGTTTTCGCCCCGAGGTTCTCTTCTAGAAGAAAGTCCATGAAGGCTAACGGCTCTTAAAAATCTAGAACGACAATCACGAGCATTGCTCGACTTGTCCTTCTCGTCCAGGGTCTGTTCATGCTGAAGACAACGTCCAGCGCCGACGCCAGCATCGGCTTCGTGACATCAGCCATTGAAACGAACCTGGCGCTCATCACAGCCTCAGCACCGGCGCTAAGACCGCTGCTCCGGACGTGGTTCCCCAGGATATTCCGCGTTGATCGCGACGAGGTTGTCGGTAACACGGCTCGCAGGGTGTTGGGCACGGCGGCGACGCGGATGACACGGCTCAAGTCACAGACACAGCTTCAGAGTCAGAGCCCGCGGAAAAGCGAGGAGGCCATCATGACGTTCAACGGGATTATTAAGAAGAGCGACATCACTATTCATTATAGTCCCGGGTTAGACAGTGTGCGGCCTGCCACCGCGCCCCAAACCTTGGAGAGCCAGCAACAGCAGCAACAGCAGCAACAGCAGCTAGAGAAGTGGATATAGGACCTGCTTGTCCCTATCTGCCTTCTTGTGACTCGGCTATGCTAAGTTGAAATGATATTTGGGTCATTGGTTTCTGGCGTTAAGTGTGGAAAACACCATTCATTTTCAGTGCGCATCAGTATGGCTCTTACTTGGTCGGCGTGTGGTGGCGTAAGGGTTTCTGTTTAATTTCGCTTCAAGATTGTATGTACGCACATGTTATGTTTTTCAAGTACTTAGATTCGACCCATAATGTGATTACATTGAGCTGAATACCCACGTTCAGGCCGAGTGCAATACGTCACCGTAATTCACTGTCTGCCTGAGAAGCTAGAGTACCTCAAGCAGTACTGCTCAAGATACCAACTTCTAGAGAAATTCGCCATAATCACGATGGTGACAAACGATGACATGAGAGAAATTCAGCTTGTTTCAAATATTGAAGATCTCTATCGTCAACTCCGGGCCGGCTTTGCATATCTCTTCGGCCCCGGACTTCTCCTAGACCATCATTCGATCATATGTAGGGACGGTGGAGAATCACATGCACGATGAGTTCAGGGCCTTACATAGCATTGCACAAGATAGGGATAGATACTTGGCACAATATGCCGTTGCAACTTCCCCGCATAATCTATGTTGTTGCTCTATAGCAGGGATAAAAAAGTAGTTTTTATTTTTATTATTATTATTTTTTAATTGTTTCAATCTTCCCCTCTCGACTGGAGATAGGGAACTCTTGCACAACTGTACTTTGGCGATTGATGCCCAAAAAGAAGTTGCCTTGTAGATCAAGACTTCTTGTAGACCTTAGAAAAAACAATATGCCCAACGCTTATCTCGCTGCACCTGAGGTTGTGTAACGGATACTGATAGATCTTAGAACATCAGTTGCGAGAGATTACCTTCCCCTCTTGAATGATTTCCATAGTCAGTGTCATTACATATCGTGCAACACATTCTGGGTTTCCTAAATGCTTATTCGTCGATAAAAGTACATGGTGATGGGTGCGCGCAGCGATGAGTTCTAGGCCACGAATTGAGCAGAGATGACTGGGCAGATTGAATATGATACCTATGCGCCTATCTCTCGGCGGACCTCTAGTGCACTTGATGTCTATGATTTATTGACAATATAGGGCCCTCTATGGCTGGACGATCTATGCCAGGACTTTTAATACCAGGGTTTCCCTTCCACGAACGCCTTCTTATGCCGGAGTCAGCACAGATATCACGAATAATATTTCCGATTTCTAACTGCGGCCGAGGGCAGGCCGAAGGGAGTGTAGCAACCAATACTACCAGAAGTGCGATGCAAAACCACCGAGAATCCGTTCCCGCACTAGCAATGACTAGTGAGTTGCTAACGGCCGCCGAAACGGCGCATGCATTCTGGTGAGCGGCCATAGCGTGGGGATTGGGAACAGCCCAACAACTACCTAGTATAGAGTCGTGCGATCTCGGCGACGTGTCGCGGTCGGCGGGTATGAAAAAAAAGCACACACGGAGAGAGCCGCCCTAAGGTGCCGAGAT